GTGCACTCCTTGTGCTTTTTGAATGGCTAACTTTGCACATAGCATGTGCCTAGATGTTACTGAAGGTACACAGAGCATGGATATATGCAATTCAGAACTTCTACTGGTTTGAGTGGTATTATGAAATGAATATTAACTATCTGTTTTTATCTTCTGATCTGTTACCTGCCCTTTTGCTTTTTCTCCTGTGAAGAGATTCATCCAACTTTGGGTAACTAAAGCAGATGCATAAATCCATCAGAAAGTGCAGAACAGTCTGCTTGATAATATGCTTTGCTTTATTTGTGGAGCTGAAATCTGTAACATTAGGTACCAAACCCAGAAGACACTAGTTTGTGTAACAAAGACATTCCCAGGTCTTGATTAGGAATCAATCTATGCAGTTTATTGAATCTGACATTTAAAGAAAATGTGACCAACCTCCTCAGCTAAGCTATTACATATGCTGAACTTTTTAAATGGCACATGTATCTTTCAGAGTTAGCATTTTTATACAATACAATATTAGTGAATTTAATTATGGATGTCTGTCTGTATATAGTCATCTGCACTGAAAGGTATGGGAAACATCTTTTTCTCTTGTTAAGATAAAGTTTGAAAATCTCTTGCAAATATTTTGAAGGTGTCAAGAGTCAAAAAAGAAAAAAAAGTTCTTTGAAAAATGAGAGGCAACTTTGGAACATCAAATCCATTGTTCCCAAATTTCCTGGGAAAGGGGGATATGAAGAAATGCAACATGAAAATAAGTGTAGATTAGTTTGATTGCAGGTAATAGGTGTATGTGCACTTGGGACAGGGAAAGGTGATAGTGAGGGAAAAGATCTGTGATCTTCTTTGGAGAAGACGAGGCTGAGGGGAGACCTGATTACAGCCTACAAATACTTGAGAAAAGATGGTGGGAAGGTAGGGGAAGGGCTCTTTACATTAGTGTTGGGTGATAGAACAAGAGGAAATGGGTATAAGCTTAGTCAGGGGAGATTCAGGTTGGATGTTAGGAAGTATTTCTTCTCTGAAAGGGTTGTCAGCCACTGGAATAGGCTGCCCAGGGAGGTGGTTGAGTCCCCATCCCTGGATGTGTTTAAGAATAGGGTGGATGAACTGCTTAGGGATATGGTTTAATGGGGATTAGGGATGGTTGGACTCGATGATCTCTAAGGTCTTTTCCAACCTAGAAATCTATGAATCTATGAATCTACTGTATTACCTCCAAAGAGATCGAAGCACTTCAATAATCATTTACTTAACTAAAGAGTTTTACCTGAGTCTTGTTTAGAGAGATTTGACTTACTGAGAGTTTAAATGTGGTGCTTCCTTAGTCCCTGCTTGATCTAGAATGCAACACTAAGAGTTACAGTTCTTACAATCCAGTATGCCACCTTCTGCTGCCTGCAACGCAAAGGAAAACTCGTGATAATGGCCATTTGCAATTAGCTCTCACAGTTTGTCTAACTTCTTCAGAGAAAACCACGTGTTAAAAGAAGAAGCAACCATTAATTTGCTTATCTGACACTTGTTTTGCTAATTGTGACTGTCACTGCCCTCTCCCAAAAATAATATGACAGTATGTATAACAGTGAAGAGATTGTTTGCTGGAGACTCACAACAATGTCAGCTACTTGTAAGTATTTATGTAATACTGCAAGTGGTGCATGGTTTTAATAAGCAAGCAAGAAAATAAATGGATAACTGACTTTGCCTTATATTTGTCTCTCTAGTAATATTTATATTCTGGTTACAAGAACTTAAAAACTTAATTGTTTTGTATTTCATTTAAAATCAATTAATTTTATAAGTAAATATTTGAAGTGAGGTTTGCTTTAACTCTATTGCTTTTCTTCTATCAACAATCATAAAGAAACAATGGGACTAGTAACATGGTACAATTCTATTTGGATCCTCTACATGCCCACATATGGAAATAACTAACAACAAACAAGATATTGAACGTTTTAAATATATAAGCTATATGAACAACAGCTTTTAATAACAACAAAAAAAAGAGCATTAAGTGGAAGGTACTAGCCTGCTGAGCCTATACCACTGACCAAAGAACTCTTCAGTTGAGTCCTTGAACAAAACTAGGTGTAAATTTTTAAATACATTTTTCACGATCCACAGAAGGTCTTCAGTGTCATGGCATTCAAGATTATAGATACTGAAAAGCGAGAAACTTCAGGAAGTCTTTATGCATATATAGCAATTACAGTTTAGGGAACTTTGAAATGAAAATTTGTTATCTAAAGTTGCAGTAATGCTTATGTTGAATTCTTTATGAATGATCTAGAAGCACTTGAAATCTGAAATGTGCCTGGGATCTATAGTAATCATTCAAGAAGTGACTATATCTTTTAAAAATTAATAAATGTCATTAGTTCGCAAGTCTAGCCTTAATTTTTGGGTGGAGTTGATTGCCAGCTTTCCGTTAAAGTGGTTTTTTTTCAAATACGGTTGTGGGAAAACTTTTTTTTCCTTGTTACACTGGCTCAATTTTGTTATTTTTTTCTACTTTATTCAGAAAATCTACAATAAAAATTCCTAGCTCAGAATATTATTTGAAAAAGGTGATAAGTGCATTAGTTTTGAGTTTGGTTGCAGCTCAGGATCTCATTTCTCCTATGCATCAATCATGCCAAAGAACTTGACCTCCGTGTTGCGCTGGAGGTTTCCTTTATCAGGGAAGGAAACAATCTCTACACGAAGCTGTGTAGGAATCACAGCCAGTCGCAGCCAGGGACACCTTTACGGTTTGTGACAGTTTGGGGATACAGGCAGGTTGAAGGTAGCTTCAGTGAAGAAAGAGAACTTATGTATTTATTTATTTAGTTAGTAAAACAACTTCTGAGAATGAATATTAGTCTTTCTCATATAACACTTCTCCCAAATAACTTTGAAGCAGATGCAAAACGCAGGGAGAACTACAGATCATTAATCGATCTCTTCACTCCACACCAAAGCTTCTTTGTGGTGGCAATTTTGTGCATGTTCCTTGGCAATATGCGTCTATAATTAAACTCAGCCCCAGTCACAATATGTATGAAGACGTTGGCTTTGTCTGCTCTCGCAGGAGTCAAGTTGGAAATGAATTTGGGCGAAGCTGATGATAAGTCGCCTGTTCTCCTGAATGATTTACAAATACTGTCCATATTAGAATTCATAAGGAACAGATCTTTTTCTGCAGTCATTAAAACGTGTATCTTTGCAAGATAAATGAGTCTATACATTTTGTCAAAGGTACAAAAACCACTCTATCAAATTTGACAGTACTGTAGTCCTGTGCCAGATGGGGCTAGATTAAGGTGAAAAAAATTCATTATTAAAGAAAATTTTCTTAGAAGCTTTCAGTGTCTTTCACCTCAAATAGTGTCATTTCTGTGCTTAAGCAGAATAAATGGTGCCTATCATGTGTTAGGTGTTTCCCACCCCCTCCCTCCACCTTTTTTAAGAAATCCTCTCCCCCCACCTGTTTTAAGAAATCCTCTCCCCCCACCTTTTTAAAGAAATCCCCTACTGAGAAATCCCCTATGGTCTGTCAAGCCCAGCAGTGCCGCCAGCCCATTGTCTCCAGCAGTGGTAAAGGGAGATGCTATTTAAAGACCAAGCACATGAGCCCTGGCTGCCTTTTGCAATCCATTCCCTTGTGTTCCTCCAATATTCAAAGTCAATGTATTAGGGGCGGTGGCAAGTATATGTAATTTGCCATGTCATTTTAGTATCCATATATTGTCAACCTATTGTCCACAAATTCATCCAACTTCTTTCTGAAGCTGCTGACACTCTCTCCACAGCAGGATCTTCTGTTAGCAAGGTGTAGGATTGCACTGCCTCCTGTGTGTAGAAGTGCTTTCACTTATTGTATTTTCAAATCTCCTATTAGTCTCATCCAAATATTCCTAGTTCTAGTATTAAAAAATATTGTTCATAACAGTTCAACACGATGTTGCATATATGGGTACAGCAAAGTTTTCTAGAGCAACAAAATTTTTGTAAATTTTCATTATTCTGTATTATTTTCTATTCTATTAAAAGAAAAAAAATGAGCCTTTGTTGTGTTGCTTATAGGACTGGTACTGAACAGAGGGTTCATTGTGCCATCTGCAGTGCAGATAAATCTTTTCCCTGTCTGTTTAACTACTTCAGAAGCCAGAATTTTATTCCAAAACAGACATGATAAATATATTTATGTTGTAATTGTAATTAAGAAGTTAAAATTATGATCACTTTAATGTTGCTCATTTTCCTATTGTGAATCAAGGTTTCAAGTAGAAATAAGTTAGTTTCTTGTTAGGCTATAACATTTAAAAATGCAGAGACATTTAGAAGAAGAAAATCTTGTGGACAACCTGTGCAATATACAAATGAAGCAATCAGGTGGGAATGAAATGAAATGATAACCTGCATGAGAAACAGGAAATTAAGACTGTGATTTCACTCTAGCAGGAAAGACTCTATTTTAAGGGAGAGATCATTCCCCTTTTAGATCATGAGGCATCACTGTGGCAATATGCCAGATGTTAACAAAGCCAATAATTAGTGACCAAGTGTTCAATGTATTTAACATGATTTTTTAAACAATTTAGAGTGTGGAAATCTGGAAAAGATGACATTGAGCACTTGGTTCTCTTCAAAAACATTGTATGGCCATTCTGTTATTGATCCCTCATTTCCTTTTTGTTCCAAGAAAAATAATTTAGTATACCTAAAAGTAAAAAATTTTGCTCTTTTGTACTTTTATATATGTATGAAGATTTATATTTTAATTTTGATCACAGATGTGGCAATACTGGTCATTTCTAACTATAGCAAATCTTATGTATCTGGTTTGAGTCAGTTTAAGCTAAAGCCCTTTTGCCTGAGTTTTTGGGATCAAATACATGTGAACTGGAACTTAACAGCTTTACAAACATTTACTGACTTTACATGTTGCAATGGACAGCACTTTTCTGTAGGAGTTCATGACTGTAATTATGTGTGGTGAAAATTGTAACGCGCTCTTATTACAGCTTCTGCGAACAAGACAAGTTGCCCATTACGTTCCAGTCCTGTGTGATCACGAAGGAGTGCCAGGTGTCAGAGTGGTCAGAATGGACACCCTGCTCCAAAACCTGCTTTGACATGACAACCCCTAAAGGGAATCGTACAAGATCACGGACCATTAAACAGCTGCCTATCGGCAGTGAAAGCGAATGCCCGCAACTAGAAGAAACAGAGCAGTGTGTTTCTCAAGGAGATGGTGTGGCACCATGCATTACGTAAGTTGGTTCATTTCAGTTCTCCCTATACTAAAATGAAGAATTTCAGTTAAGCATACAGGGCTGGTAATGGAATATCAACCAAATAATAATTAAATAAATAACAGGTTTGATTATATGTTTTTTTTTAATCTTTTGATTACTCAGTGCTCTTCTTAAAAGCCTGAAGTCTGCAAATATCTGCCATTATAGTGAATTCACTTCCTCCTCTAACTATAGTAAAAATAACAAATATGTATTTTTTTGTTAGTGTTGACTTTTAAAAGAGAATGTGCATATGCAGACATAGTCAAGACCATAATAAATTAATTATATTAATTTGTCAGTGATCTTTTCCCTCAGAAGTATTTTCTGAAGTACGTGTCTGTTTGCAGACAAAATGCTGAACATAGGAAAGACGTGATAAACATCTGTTTAGCATCTAGACTTTTTTAGTGAGACTCGTATTAAGCACAGTAAAGGCAGGACTGGGCCCCAAATAGAAAGTGGGAGAGGCTAACAGTGATAGTAAATAAATTAACCTTGTTTAAAGTTTAGGAGAAATGACACCAAGAACTTTACGATTCAAGAGATTGCTGTAATCCTTACCAACTAATCGATATTAATATTAAAGTCCCAACTGTGTTTTTTCTTTATCAGACTAAGAAGAGAGCCTGGGGAAATGTCATTTGATGTTAAGCATCTTTGATTGTAGTACATATTTTTCATTTTAAGAGCTGAAATGTCATCTTTCCCCATCTTCATCCACATTGGGAAGCAGTTTGCTTGATTTAGCCTTAAAGAACTTGTTGGATAAAGGATTCTGTGGCATTTCTTGCAGTTCGTAATCCTGATTGGGGTTTTAACTGGGAGTCACAGATCTTCTTTTCTGTGCATTCACTGATTAGAAAGCTCACAGCTTCTCATCATTCATCAGTACCCAGCAGGGATGCTTCAGTACTGCAGAGCCATCTTCGTGGTGAAAAAGGAACTTACCAAAAGGTTTTTTTGAAGTAATAATGAAAAAATACAATTATAGTTTTACCTTGATATTCAGGAGAAACTTCTGTCTCTCTTATCAAAGATGAATAAGAGGCTTTGGGGTTTGTTTTTAGGGGGTTGGGTTGTCGTGGTTTTTTCCCTCTCCTTTTCTGGCTCTTATGTTTCTCAGCATGCACATATCTTTGATATTTTGGCTTTGGTTTATATATATTGTCTAGCTCTAAACAAATGTCGAGTCACAGTGTTGAGAGCTTAGCTGAATGTAGACTAGATGTCTCTGAATATCAAGGGGTTTTTTCCCTCCAATAAAATATCTATATGTGCAGTATGTTTCAGGAATTGAACAGAAAAGACCTTCCTAAAAAGTAATGATTTCAAAAATGAAATAACAGAGGAAAAGTTTCCACCCACATAAAATATTAGACTTAACACATCTCTGTGTACAAGAAATTGTGGGGCTCAGGCCTTTTAGAAGATGAATAAAGCTATCAAGATGTTTCAGCTTGTATAACTTCATGCTGTGTAAAATGGTTTAGTGATTTCTAAAGACCCAATTAACCAAATTTTATCCAGGTACGGTTGGCGGACCACAGAGTGGACAGAATGCCGTGTCGATCCTCTCCTTAGCCAACAGGACAAGAGGCGAGGAAATCAGACTGCGCTGTGTGGAGGTGGCGTTCAAACACGGGAAGTGTACTGTGTGCAAGCTAATGAAAATCTCCTCTCCTATTTAAACACCCTCAAGGAAAAAGAAGGTAAATTTTATTTACTTGCAATTGAATTACTGTGAAACCAGCGCATTTCAGCATTCCAAGCTCCTTGAGAGCCATTGTCTTCTGTCATGAGTGCTTTCTTACCTTGCAGGTTATGTTATCCATGCATAAAAAAATCTAATTCAGGTGAAAATACTTCATTGCAGTAGCAGAGATTTCATTCTCTATCTGCAAATATTGGTTCCTAGCTACAAATTACTTTTTCTTAATATTTACTGAAAAATACTCTTATGTGAAGAATGTCTGTCAGTAAGAAAGAGCATGGGAAGATGGGTCAGAAATCCTAGACTCAGTTCCTTCATATACTGTAGATTTCCTGTCTATCCTTGAGCTGGGTGATGAACCTGTGTGGTTTGGTGTGCAGATGGAATATGCCAATTTGGACATGTGAACTGAATATAGAAATATGTAAAAATATTGCTATATTTCATTCTCAGGGAATATTTTTTTTTCTTTCTTTTCTTGATTTGGTCAAGTTCTTAAGTCGCTTTGAAAACTTTAAGCCCATATAGTTTCATGGCTTTGTTTCCTGAATGGAAAGATAGAAGAGGTTATTCCTTGTCATTGTTACAGCCTGTACAACTTCTTAAGAAAAGAGAGAATAGCTTAGGAGATGAAATCTTTAATTCATTTGGTAGAATACATACTGAAGAACAACACTTGAGTACTTTATGCTACTTCTGCATACATATAGATTTAGAAATTAGTGATTAAGCTAAATGCATTTAGCTTGTTAATTGAATTTTATCCTCTTCTGTAGCTGTTTCACGTAAACACATGTTATTATTAAAAATTGAATAAATTAATACAGCCACATACTTCAGGACAAGCTACATCATTTTACAAGCCGTATATAATACAGCATTTAGACCAGAGCTGACTAAACTGCAGGCTAGTGAGGCTTCTGCTGTAGGATAAAGGTACTCTTAAACTTGCCGTAGAGGTAGAGTTTGTGGGGAATATTAATGCTGACATCCATTTCAGCGTGACTGCTCGGATCTGTAGGGTGTGACTTGTGTGCTCTGTGGGCCCCACATCTGTATTTATTAAAGAATAAGCTTCCAAGCCACTTCATTTCATGCAAAGCAGCTTCCATCCAAGGGCTTTTAGTACATCGCCTCTGCTGAACGAAGTTTAGATGTCCCTGCCGCAGAGTGAAGGAGTGAAAGCTCCCAGCTCAGGAGAGGTAACAATGAAATCGGTGACAGCTTACTGTTTGGAATGATGATCAGGGTTTTGGTAGGCTGTAGAGTCCCTCCGGCTTAGGCGGGTGTGAAATGTGCCCTTATCAGAGTGTGACAGGAATACGCAGAGCCCATCAGGAGGTAATCTCTGCACGCCCTGGAAAGCTGATTAAAATGTAACTAGTCTTTGGATGCATAAACATGAGAACAGTTTTTCAAGAGCTCAAACTAGGGGTGAAGTGGGTCTTAGTTTGAAAAGGAGCTCTGGGGTATTTCCGTATTAGGGGAAGGTTTTCAGAAGAGCTGCTTCTCCGCTCATCCTCCCTCTCTCTCCCTTCCCGTCTTGAATTCGGTGTGGGTAAGAGCTGCTCTCCAGGCCTCCAAGGAACAAGCAAATCAGTGCCTCTAAATGATACCATTTGAAGGCTAGGAGTAATTTGAAGATGGGAGAAAGCTGGGGAGACACCCGGCAGTTGTAGCCGTGGGGAAACGCCTTCGTTTCAGGGCAGTCTGCTGTTGGTGGTGGGGAATGCTGTCTCGGTAGGGCTGCTTTGAAGACATCCGTCCTCATGTACTCATGGTGGCGTTTCCCTGTTATTTCAGAAAGTCAGTCACAGAGCAAGTGGAAGGCTAGTGCTGCACCTCTGCTATCGATCACTTTTGAAATAACAGGTAGGTGAATTACGGCCGCTGACCCGGCCTTTCCAACAGAAGCGTGCCAAGGAGGCCACGTCCCTTTCAAGGGAACTGCATTGGCTGTACGTGTACAATTAACATGTTTATCTAGCTCTGAAATAGTGTAATGGATTTGTGCGTTCTCAGAAAATTCGAGATCGATTTGAAAGTGACAGGCCTGGACTCAGACTAATGAAGATCGTTAGCCAGCCAGGACGCCAGGGCGGCTCCCGGTTCCCGCTCCCGAACCGTTTCAGCAAGGGACTGATTTTCCTCCCCATTCTGAGCACTGGAAATTGCTTCGTTGTGTTCATCACAGCTGCTATTCCCAGTCCCTTTTGCAGATTTAAAACACTGAGTTAGGGTTCCAGTAAGAGTTTGAACTTTTAATACTGACCTGAACCAGAATCCCTCACAGTGTTGAGGTCTGTATTGTCTCCTGTCAGACTTCGTAAATTTAGACTTGAGGAAGATGCAGTGGTGAGTGTAGTAATTAGGTAGCTGACAATCAAGATTCCTGGAGGCCGTTGTCATTCTGCCATTTACTCGCCACTGTCTTAAATTGTTTTGTCTCTATTCAGGTATTTAACCTATTAGTCGTGCAGTTCTTCTCACAGTAAGCCTATGAGGTAGATTGTGTCACCTGTTTCCGAGTACTTTTAAGACTTGCTATAGAATGAGGATGGGAGGAAAGTTCCTTTGTGAGCATAAAGTTGTTAACTATGAAACCAGCGTGACAAATGACCAGGAGGAAAATGAAGTTGTGTCTGCTTATACTGATGCAGCCACATATAAATTCACTCTTTTTGCCAGCTGGTCGTTACTGGGCACTGGTCTGTTAATGGTTCCTGGAGAAGAATGGGGAGGCTGAGATCTTGATAAATGTAGCAAATACTTAAGAACAGAACTGTGTTTTTTCTTTTCAGTTCTTTTTGAAATGCAGTCATTCTAGGAGGTGCTTTACAAGGGGATAAAATATATTCAGATAAAATTTCCTAATATGGCAGATGATTTGAGGACAGAGTGATTGAATCTCATTTTAGTTTTTAGGTCACTACTTCAAACCTGAAATTCATTCTGAGCCTAATTTTTTAGTTAGACTGAAGGAGATAAAGAGATTATCAATATGCATTCATTTTTCATTTTTGGTCCAAAATTTGGTCAAATTCTGCACAGAGCTTGTGGTATTATACACGGTCTAATCAGCATTCAGCATCACTGCCAATGAATAAAGAACAATCTTTATTGCTGTCACAGGAGAGCATCAAAAGAAAGAGATAAGACGAGGATTTAAACTGTAAATTTCTGCATCCAGCATCATTTCTCAAAGCATCGTTGCTAAAAAATAAGCAGCAAAAGTTGAGCTCATTTATACTTTTTCGGTGCTGGAAGAAATTAATTTAAATTAATGAGAGCAAGTTGTTCATAGGATGCTCAGGCAAGGCTGTTTTCTTATTTTACTGTAATCTCAGATAAAAAATTCTGGGTAATCCTGGTGACATACACCCCGAGTCCTCAATGATGAAGATATTTTGTAATAATCTGGAATATCACTTCCCTGTGCTACTATTGAATTCTTTTGTTTTAAAAGCAATATATAACAAATCTGGTAGCAGACGTTTGTACATTGCTTATGTTCTAAGAATAGCATTTCAAAAGTATTTTGACATATTGAGAGATTTAATTATACCACTTACCTGTCCTCAAAGCACTTATTTCTTCCCCTACACTTTAATGAGTGATGGAAAAGGCAAATATTTTCAGTAGGGGTTTTCATGAGAAGTTTATTTAACAATGTTTGCTGACAAGACATAGAATTCTTACTGGACAGATACCCCCAAAAAATTGAAGTAGTGTTTCTATTACTTAAATCAGCCTCTTTAAAGCCAAACACAGTCACGATTCCTCATGTTTTAGAAGTTCAGGACTATCACAAATTTGGCTTGAAGCCAAATGGATTGTGACAGTAGCACAGTAGTATGTTCTAGTGGCAGACTTAAAAAAATCTGGTTGAGGTATGGAGCGTCTGTGATATGAAAATCTGCTGTTTAAAGCTTCCTGATGAAAAGTGGTTGTTGTTTTTCTGAGTAACATGGCATGAACTAGTGCCGTGGTAAGTCCTTTATCCTGTGCAGACTGGAGATGAAGTAGGGCATTCCCCAGAACACTTTCTCTGTTCCCTGAAGCAAGGCTGCGTCTCAGAGGTGTAACTGACCCTTGATTTCAACTGTCTCACTTGGGCAATTCGCCGATTAAATCAAGGTTAAAAAAGTACGTTTAGCAATTACTTACCGTTTTTCTTTTTTTATTATAAACTATTCAATACAAATTAAATTACAAGCACATTATGTTTATTTACATGCATGTTCTACACCAGATATGCATATTATGTTGATTATCATGCATATTAGGTGTGCATGTCAAACTTATTGTAAAATTCAATGTTCTGTCATAAAATTCAATTCCAACATAGCATTATGCAAATGTTGGAATATTTGTTCTTGTATTATTTTGTGTATTAAAAGATGGGTAAACTGGAGGCAGTAATGTTGAATGACTGTCTGCCATTCTTATGCCTTTATTATGTGGAGCAACACAGTGTAAAACTGTGCCAAAGAAGGCAACAGGAGAAACCAGAATAGGGAGACTGATAATTTTTCTTTCTCTTTTCCCCTTAAAAAGTGAGAATTAAATGGTTTTTCTGTAATTGCAAAGATCATCTACTTAGAAAGTCTGAATGGAAAGAGACACACGTATCTACAAATGAGACTATATTTTAATAACCTGATGCTTACTTTAACATTGTGTCTGTGGTTATTGATCTCATCTTTCAGAGGATATTTTGTCATATTCTGAACTTATTTCAGAATATGTTTTATCAGAGAGCTCTTTCCATCAAAAGAGACTATTTGTAGTGGTGGCAGAAAATCAATAAGTCAACTTTGAAGTGAAAAAATGCTGAGGGAGTAGGATGACTGTGTTGTAAGTTAAAGAATTGCATGTTTCTTCAATCAACCAAAGTGAATGAATATGGCAGACTTCACTTTGCCTTCTAGCAGATATTGTCTGCTTAGTTTAATATTGTGTCAAATCCTATGTTATGAAAGAGAATTAAAATCTTGCTTATAATGAAATGGTATATTTTAGTTTAGAGTTCTGTGCCTTACTCTGACACCTTGTAGAGATGTTCTATTATTTGTGTAACCTGGGAATTCAGAAGAGTGAAGTATGGAAAGAACAAGGTGATTTTGGCCTGTTCTAGAGCTTATTGATCCTTAAAAAACAGAAGAATCTGCCTTCACATGTGTCTTTATATTTTAATGAAAAAATCCATTCTCTTGTGCAGAGTTGTAATCATTTTAAATGTTATGTGTGTATATATAATATGCAAACCATATAGGTATCTAAAACAAAGCCTTTCTTGAACTAAAGCTGCCACTGCACAGATCTTATTGCTGAGTGTGCACTTGAAGGTCTTTAAAATAAAAGAAAAAACAAAATCTGTCATAATTTTAACTATGTTTCAAGTTATAGCTTAAAATTAATCTTCTAAATATTAATTAAGCAGGCTTTTGAAGTTATGGTATCATATAGGAGCAAATGGATTTATACTGCTTTTTGTTCAGTTTCTTAAGTGAAGACATACTGAATAAGACAGCAGGACATAGATTTAGACAGAATGCAATGTGGACAACTGTTGTAGTAACATAATCTACCCCTTAAATGAAAGGACTAGATCCGAGAGAGTGCTGCAATATCTACAGTCTTCCTGACTCCACGTAATCGGATTTGGCTCTATTCTTGCAGAGTTAAACTGACTTCTGTTTCATTTTTTCAAGGCAGGCATTTTACCATCACTTCATCAGATTAAAATGATGATAGCAGCCTTTCTGAATGAGGGATGGTTCTGTCCACTTATAGCTGAGGATCATGACCAGTGACGTGTGAGAAATGTGTTGACTTTGTTTTGTCAGCCTCGAGGCCAGTGGACCGTCGGCTGTGTACGGGACCTCTACCCAGCACCTCCCAGCTGTGCCATATCCCCTGTCCTATAGAGTGTGAGACCTCAGCATGGTCAGCCTGGGGACCATGCACCTATGAAAGCTGTGATGACCCTCAGGCCAAGAAGGGTATGTAAAAATTCAGTGAAGCCTTTTAATGGTGATCATTTTGTACTCCTAAGTCACTAAGCACCTCTGGCTATGCAAGCATACTAAATTTTGTACCAAGAAGGGTATGTCCTGTGCCTCTGAGCATCAAAAAAGGTCGTTGAATTAGGACTATATTTAGCATTACTGCTTCACCAATGCTGGAAAAAATATAAGCTGTTTACTGGGCTCTCAAGGTCAATTTGGATTATTAAAGATCAATTTCCAGTTTTAAACCTTCCTCTCAAACTGAAAGGGATACAGTTTGTGTATGTGTTCAGATCACAATTCTGTCTCGAAAGGAGGACAGAAGTAGCCTGTGAGGTGCATAGTGTCCAAGCCACTCAAAGATTTACAGTTCAGTGATAGCTTAAGAATTCACCAGTAGACCATAAAGTGTGCTCAGGCAAAGAGATGAGACCATTTGCTGTTGATAAGTGATACTGTTTTACTGATGACATATGTACTGGTTTCAATTTTTACGTTTTACAGTTTATTCCTATGCAGAAAAGATTGTGGTAAGCTGACATCAAAACAGGAAAGCAAGAATACAGTGACAAGGACCTCATGTAAGAAGTCTGCAGGTTTCTGGCTGTACATGAGAAAAACTGGCCTAGTCATTGCTGCAATGTGAATATGTGACAAAAGTTGAGAAGATAGACTGGATTCCTTGACTGAAAACACTCATAAGAAAGGGCAGCCACATACGTCCACTTGAAGGAGCAACTGTAATTACCACATTATGTTAACTTCTCCTTCCTGGTATACCGTTAGCTACACTTCAGTCTGGGCAGCAAGAATGCAAGTTTTACAATGCTGCCTTATGGTGATGTGACCCAACCTTGAGCAGTTCAAGAAGGAAAAAGCAGTTCAGTGTGTAAGCCCATTGGATCGAGTCTTCTCTGAGTACAGTGGTCAAGTAACCTGTTATTTCTGTTGCTGTTCCATCACTGAAAGATTTGCTGCATTTTCAGGGGTGATGTTTAGCTTTGTGAGACTGATTTGGACACCTGCCTAATGGAAATGTATTGGGATGTACTTTATGCAAGTCTTTATTCCTGCACACATGAGCAAGGATCTTTTCTCAACTGCCAATGTTTTCCTCTTATCTGGAATTTCTTTTATTTTATTTTATTTTGCATTGACAGTTCTTCTGAGAGAATGATGTAAAAGTTGCACAGTTACTCCCAGTTTTAGCAGCAAGTTTCTCTACATATTTCAGGAATAGCCCTTTACTGTGGATCATTTGCCTCCTTTGTTGCAGTAGAGACTGGGGTTGTTTTTTTTTAAATTATGTCATCCTTTTGTGGCAGGCTTAGTAAACCATAATTTGGACATAATTTGGCTGACATCTTCAATTTAGAAAAAAACTACAACAATTAAAGATACATGGAAATGTAGTTTTGAAGTATTATTTATTATAATTTAAGTGAGGCATATCTTCAATCAAAAAATCATTTATTGCATTTATGTGTTAGAAAACTCTCTCCTGTTTAGTTTGTGTCCTGGTAGAAATTAAAGAGCTAGATGTAGTATTTTATTAAAAAATCTTTGTGTATTAATAACCTGCCTGAAGAGATAAAACGAAGGAGACTGTTAAGAGATGTGAAAAGAAACAAACCTTTGCCAAAGTTAAAATAATCTGATTTGATATATTGGGAACTATAGAAAATTATTTGATATATTGGGAACTATAGAAAATTATTACATGAGAAACTGTTTCCTGCATCCATTCCGTTTGGTTGGCTTGTTCTGACTATAGATTTAGCCTGACTTTTTCGACATGCCATTCCGAAAGTGAAAGAGAGGTTTGTTCTTAGAGTCTGACATTGACCTGGCAGATAACACACTGTATGAATGCCCATCAGTTTCTTCAATCCAAAATGACCTTAGGTAGTCTTAAGGAAATTTGTAAATGTTTGCAAGTGAATATTGTTATGTTAATTACTGAAAATTTGGGTTTAATTCCGTGACTTGCCTTTTCTGGCAAGGTAGTCTTTTTTATCTTTTTTTCCCCAAAAGGGAGTGTTTCGAAGTTGATTTCACTTGATAATCTATCCCTGTTGGAAGATACCTGAGAAGAAAACAATATATTCGAGAAATAGTCCCAACAATCTAGTCAAGATTTGTTAGATGAGTTGGATCTGGCAAGAGTGATGCACAGCAAATGAATCCTGTCTCTCTCCTGGAGTACATTTGACTAAGATAAACAGGGGTTTAAGGCAAAGCTTACTTGAATAAGCTCAAAACTTGAGATGCTCTCATTAAGTTTTACCTTTCTTCCTTCTCTAATGAGTTCTTCTACCCAGTTATCTAAAATGCAGTGTTGCATTGAGTTTCTGTGGTATCTTTTACACAGAAGAGAAACAGGTAATTCAGAAACAAAAGAGAAATAGAAGTTCACTGAGGTGTAGATAGATAAAAAATTCTTTACTTTACATTTTAGAGTTTAATTATTCTGCCCTTTGTATTTTCATGGACATTTCAGGCTTTAAACTAAGGAAACGGCGCATCACTAATGAGCCTACAGGAGGAACAGGAAACTGCCCTCACCTGCTGGAAGCCATCCCGTGTGAAGAGCCCTCCTGCTATGACTGGAGAATTGTGGGGCTGGAGGAGTGTGTTCCCGACAATGAGAAGCCATGTGGCCCCGGTACGCAGGTTCCTGTTGTCGTCTGCGTCAACAGTGATGGTAAGATGCTTTTTCCCACAGTCCACACCAACTAGAGTGAGTGAAGATGCTAAAATGTAGTCCAAAAGGGTAGCACTTTTTGTTGTTCTCAACTTTTTCAGTCCGTAACACCAAGCTGTTTGGAATAGAGAGAAACGTCTGTTAGTGTTGGTTGGGTAGGATAGACGTTCAGTTGCTCTAGGATCAAGCTCCTTCCCCTACACACTGTAGGTTCCCGAAGAGACTTTGACAAAAGTAAATAGGAAACAGCTATGGCCTTTCAGTAGGTCAGACTCATGCCTGCAATGACTTGACTGAATTCCCTGATGTAATCCCACTAACAAATCTGATCCACTGAGTCCAAAACCAAATAAAGTGTGAGTAAAGAAAGACGCATTGCAGTTAAGTATAGCTGGAAGAAAAATAATGATGTGTTTATTAAAAAGCGTGGTTTGATGTGTGTTGTGCAGTGGGCTCGACAGTTCAGACTGTCTTGCTTCTTCAAAAGGTCAAAAAAAATACCATCATTATTCAGTTATGCTCTGTGAGAGAAAACAGATTTTGCATGACATAGTCATCAAAGCCAATTTTCAAAGCTGCTTACAAAATACTTTAATCTACGGAAGACTCATGAATTACTGTTGTGAGAATATTCCTTATTCATTAGTAATATTATAGTCTAGAGCAGCATGTGAGTTAAAATAATTGTACTGTCTACAGTGTAGTTATGGAAAGAGACTTCTAACTCCCTATAGAGGATTAAGTAAGGGTACACCTCTGATGAGTGTTTAACAGCTGCACAAATATTTTGTAATTAAATTGGCCCGAAGTAATAAGAACTGATTATAGAGAGATTTAAATCTTGAGCTTTAATGCTCAAGAATTTGGGTCGTAATTGAATTTTGAGGCTTAATTTGAAAATCTTAGAATTCGAGTGTAAGCTTTATTTTTCTGCATACACCTAAGAGAGCTGGTAACCATTTTACCACTCAGAAAGAGATTAGCCTAGAATTACAGTATTGAATCTACCACATTTTAGGTCCCTTTCTCAAAAAAATTCCCTTCACAGTGTAATAATTTTTTGGCAACAATACTGAAACTATTTGAAATATTGTTTGTATACATTTTCAGATGAGAAACTGCCTTTTCCTCATAAATGAAAGTTTTTCTTAAATAATTCTGAATTTTAATCTTTTTTTTAATAGCAAAAAAAATCTGTAAAAAAGAAAGTGGGTTTTGTTTTCTTTATTAGATTTTGAATAGTTTCTTACATTTGCTTTTAAGAAGTGGTATTTGCTCATATGTCTAACTTCTCATTAGCCTAATTTCTTACTAAATTACAGTGTAGACATTTATATTGACTATAATTTGTTGTAACCATAATACTTTTGTAGTATGCAATAGAGCTACTAAACTTTGAGTTATGTTTTATGTATATGGTATTTTCTGTAGTTCTGTTTCAAACTCATGGGATTTGCTCTCTGCACTGCGTGGGCTTTGGTTTTGGCCAAATTTGACTTGGAAGACTTGTGATTGACCTTATTGTTCCCAGTACTAATCTTTGTCTATCTGTCTTTCTGAATTATGTGGTGTTATATATTGCTGTAATTATATGGCATTATACATTGCCTGTATCAGCAATCAGTCCCAGAAGGAATGAGAAGTCAGGCTTTGGCCATCTGCCTGTCAGTCTTTAAGATTAAAGAGTTGTGGACACAGCTTCAAAGAAAGGAGAAAACAAATTGCAATTATGGTTTGTTTTGCAAAGATCCAATCACCCACAAAGATATGTGTTCAATATCTTTTGACAGAGTGCAAAAGCAATGGAGAGTAATGTAGTTGATTGCTCTTCCTTGAAATCACCTCCTTGTCTTAGTAAACATCTTCTGTGATCTTCATCAGTAATACCAACTGGCTTTTTCTTAGGTCTCTACTGCGAAAGATGAGCATGATATACTAAAAGCAAAGATGACCTCATTAGTCTCTCCCTCCAAGCTAACTCTGCTCAAGCATCTCCTTACTTTGCCTCCCACAGCACCAACCCACTGAAAATCCTGTAGGCAACTCGTAAATGCTACTCTAGACTCACACCGCCACCTCTTCTCAGGTAGCTCCCATCTAGTACTGTAGCCTCCTACCCTGGCATGTGTGTCCTTCATCAAACACTTCTTGTAGGCATCCAGCTTCTGCTCTGCAAAATCTAGGAGAGCAGCACCTTGCAATCAGGCAGGTTTTCCATCAAGCCCCACAGCTGCAAGGTAGTTTGCAGTAAAATAATGTTTGGAGACTGCTACTCTTCCTTTGTCTAAACGTCATGGCTTAAATTAATCATCATATGGAATTTGTGATATTCAGTGTTCTTTGAGCACTTCTTGGAGAAGACTACATTGACCGTCAGTTAAAGATTTGGGTTCAATTAACGGGATACATAATCTGTATGATAATCATGTGTTGCTATAATTTTGGTTTGAGTTCATATGAATTAATTAGCCAATCTTATATCAGTGCCTGAATAAAAGAGATTGGATCAAAGGGACTTCAGTATATTAAAACAAAATTGTATTTTCCTCTTGGCTTCTGCTTTATAAAATGAAAAAGGCTGGGGTCGTAATTTTCAGAATAAACATTGTACTGTAAATGTACTGCTTTAATGTAAGATAAACCCCACACTGATTAGTATCTTCTCTTTTTGTTGACTGTTGCATCATTATATATGTTTAAAGCATCATTAGTTGGGATAACATGGCTTGACCTGAGTGTTTTACTTTACAATTAGAATCAAGTAACAGTGTTTGTGAGATTGTTTTATGTAATTGGAATGAGCTTCTCTTCAATTTGGTGTAAAGATAAGAGTCATTACAGCCTTTGAGACAATAGCAAACAATAGATTATCCTCCTGTGTTGTTGCTGGAGGCCTGTGATTGTCATTCTCTTTCCACAGTGGATTGCAGTAATCAGAATTTTCATTCAGGCTGAAAAAAATATGACAGTCAGTACCCCAGGTTGTCATTGCAGAGGCTGTAATGAACTTTGATGTCTTTTATTATATAAACGGAACTTCAGCCTTTTACTGTGAAAAGAACCTTTTCAGAAGAAATATTCTTAGTCAGCCTTCCAGGAAATTTTACAAAGGAGCTCCTTTAGGTGAAAAATCCTCCTTTTTTTTTTTTGTGGAAACTCCAATATTGGACAGAAGCTGATCAGAATTCCTCCATTATATACATTATTTTAATAGGGATCTGTGGCTAATGTTCCATACTACAGATTAACTTTTGCTAATTATAGAATGAATTTAAAAATAAAATAAATTGTAATTAATCTACTTTTATATGTATATATAGCATATTTGCATTCACACACACACAGGTATGTACATTTTATCTATTATTATTAAGGTGTTTAATGCAGTTCAAAAGAATGATTTTACAACAGATGAATTTGCTCTATTTCTCTGTAACTGTATCAATCTATGAAGAATACCATTTCAAAAATATATCTATATTGCTTAAAGACTCAATCTATAGTAGGATAGCTGGCCAATTCTCCACTCCGTAACAAATATATTAGTGCTACTCGTATGTAAATAGGGCAAAATAATTTCTGACATAAAAATCTGCAAAATTAACTACTGCCTGAAAATGCCTACAAAATGCTGGTTCATTTATTATGCTCTTTTAGATTGTTACCTTTGTGTTGAACTCTGCAGCACAGGTACCAGCAGTGGCTGCAGTGTTAGTAGTGTGCTTCTGATCCTCAGACAGTGGGCTGAAATTACTTGCTCATTTTGTAGGAATGTGTAAATAATAAATTGGTTTACAGCCTTTATAATGTACTGGGCTTTATACCACTGCATGTGTTACTCTGGATAAAACAGATCTCACTTTTGAAGGGCAGATTTCTTCCGGACCCTGTTCAGGCTTACTAATTATTGGGTTACAGTTAGCTCCATGGGGGAAAGGGATGGAGTCATTGCCATCTCCTGCCTCACAGCTGTGAGACATGACTTGCCTTAGAAGAGGGAGCCATGGCAACAGCAAGGCTCTTCATGTATATGCAAATTCCTGCAACTCTTTGAAGTAGCAAAATTGTTCCTGTAGTTGTCTAGGCAGAGATGTGTGTTCACGTAGCTGAGTGCCACAAGTTCTCTTCTGGCACCTGGGCATTTGCAGGTGACGTGGGTCTGGTCTTCCTTAGACTGGGGCGCAAATTCAAACCACCAGTGACATCAGTACATCCTGATGTAACATGGGTGGGCTGTACCCTGTTTGCAATATTGGGGCAAAACAATGGTGTTGGTCAGATGTAAACATTTCAAACCAATTAGTTCAGTTACTTTGTATGGAATGGCTCAAACATCATACTGTGCAAAATGAAACTGTGTACATCTTTTATCTATGTTTAATCTCAGCTAGTGTGACTGACTGAAGACAACATACTTCAGCTATACAAAAGTCCTATAGGATTTAATTGCTTTACGGTTTTCCCCTAGACTTAGAAATATTTAATTCTAAAATATTTCTTGTATTCCTTTATTGAATTTTACTTTGCAGAAAGTTTATAGAATTTCTTAATGTAGTTTAGATTTTCTTCTATAGTTTCCTGGTCAACATCTGTTGTTTCTTAATTTTTACCTTGTGGCTTTATATCTTTATACGATAGACATCTAATTAAATATATAGAATAAACTTCAGGAAAAACTGAAGATTGGCTGGTGCAACAATTTTCACTTAAAATACATTATGGTTGATTTAAAAATTGGCTCTTTCTGTATGTTTATGGTTTGAATCAAATAAATACTAAATGAGTAGCTGCTGGTCTTCATTAATTTTCATAACGGGAAACAATAAGACCAACAACGGAAGCTTTATAGGTGTGCCCAGGTACAAAAATTCTACTTCTGCCCTTTCTGTTGTGTGGCTATATTCATTGGATGAAGAAACCATCAGACTGGTTGGATTTTTAAATGGCTATTTAAAAAGAAAATACCTACTTTGTGTCACTTTATGACTTAGTTCTTTAAA